ATGGGGTTGGGGGGGGGGAGATGAGAAAATAATTAATGCATAGCTTAATTTACAGCCTCTGTCCCCCATGGGATGCCAGGTCCAGCGAGGGGATTCCAACTCCAAAAATGGGATTTTTTCTTTTTTTTTTTTTTTGCTCATCTCCGTGGTTTGCCATCATATTTTTGCCTGCTGTGAATACCCCTTTCAGGAGCGATATGTTTCTTGGCTTCCTCAGGCTTTCCTAATGAAACCCGTGCAGCATTTCGCAAGCAGGGGCTGTAGAAATAAGCAATATTTCATAGTAAAGTCGGTGCAGTTCCCCTCCAATGGACATTTGTCATGGCTTAAGGCTAGTTTTCTATCTTCACCCCTTCTGAGATATAAACGGAGTGGTGGAAGAAATGTATTTATATGCGAAAAATATCTATTCTACAGAGTTTAACCCTATGTGATGCTTTCCCTGCCCCCCAGAAATGAGCTCCTCTGGGGCTGGGAGCAGCACTCCTGCATGAGAGGCCATTAGCCATGGGAACGGGAACCCAAATCCCGCTATCCCAGCGCCCTTCTCCAGTGACACAGGGCTTTCTGCTCTATAAATACCCACGCAAGCTGCCCTGCCCCTCCTAATACCTGGTATTTATAGGTCCTGCCTTATTCAGGCTGGTGCCAGGCTGTCCCCAGCCCCGGGGTGTCTGTCCCCTGCTGAGGCCTGGCATGTTCATTACCGGAGTGATTTGTCCACTGGCAGAGCAAAGCCCTTTGCTGGGAAACGAGACTTTTTTCCTGCCTGAGGGCTTGCTGTGCTGTGATTTGTCCACTGGCAGAGCAAAGCCCTTTGCTGGGAAACGAGACTTTTTTCTGCCTGAGGGCTTGCTGTGCTGTCTAGAAAATGAAAATTGATTTCCTTTGCTCGATATGATTCTTTTCTCCAGCCTAGGGGAGTTATCATGGATGATGCTCCAGCTCCAGTACAACATGGGAAGCCTCCCCAGACACCCACCACGCCAGCACTCGTATGAGCAAAATATTTGCTTTTAAAAGCTGCCAGAGCTCCGGGTGCTGCTGCAGGCAGGCAAAGCCCCGGTGCAGTCCCCCAGCCTTCAAAACCACGGTGCTGGATGCTCTAGCGTGTTTTAGCAGGTTAGCTTCTGGCTGCTTTCGCTAGGCTCCGCAGGGACGTGTCCCCATGGCACCAGCCACGCACTAACGACCATCCCCGTCTCCTGCAGCGAGAGGAGAAGCGAGCAACAATCACCGATATCTCACGACGGGGGTTAATTAGCCAGCAGCAAGCCAGCATGCCTTCTGCAGCCTGAAATGCCCCACCGTTATGCCCAGGCTGCCTTTCTTGTCCTCTTTTCATCCCCAGCCCCGTCCTCGGAGGGAGATGGAGGATGACGAGCCACCCTGCAACAGCCTGGCCGCTGCCGAGAGCGGCTGGAGGTGGCAGGGCATGAGTTTGGGAGGGCGGGTGAGAGCAAAACCGGTGGCCTTTTCCTGCAAGGGCTGGAAAGGGTAAAGGAAAATGGATTTTTGGGGGGGTTGAATTAGTGCTTGGAATGAGGTGCAAGCGTAGAGGAGCAAAAACTGCGGTGGGGAAACTCTGGTGCACTGCCCTGTCTGCACTGGCCTGGGGAGGGTCTTTGCTGGGTCCGGGGGGTTTGGAAGTGGGTGTTGCGAAGCGGAGGGGCTGTCCCTTACCTCTCAGCTGGCTGAAGGTGGTGACGAATCGGCCGGTGAGGGACTTCAGCTCGTTGTTCGCCAGGGAGATGCGGTGGATTCCCTCGGTGACGCTCCTCATGGCTTTGTAGATGCCGACGGGGAAGGTCATCAGCTTGCAGTTGGCCAGATCTGCCCCCGGAGAGACCCAGGCACCTTATAATGCATCCCAGCTGGGATGGAGCAATGCTTTCCATCTTGTTTTTTCCCTCCTTAATGCTCGATTCGCCCATTTGGGCGCTGCCACCCATGGATGCTGTCATGTCCGTGGCAGGGATCTTTGCACCAACGGCTTGTTCCCATCAGCAATGCTCAGGAGGTTCTGCCTTCGGTGTGCGCAACCCCAAACCACGTTGCATTTACCTCCACGCTGCAACGTCCTTCTACAAACCCTCAGCCAGCCTGTCCGTGGCTAATAACGCCAGTAATCCCCCTTCCCTATGGCACTAACCCTCCGGGGAAGGTCGAGCATCACCGGGATACTTTTTCCACTGCTGATGGAGCGGGGCTTTCCCTGGGCATCTCCCGGCTGGATTTCTCATGGGGATGGGCAAGCAGCTGGGGAGGGAAGAGGATTTGGCTGTGCTTCTCGCCTGTTGGCATTTTCGTTTCTGTGTTTCCCTTCTCGGGAAGTGCCAGGGGATGGAGATGCTATATCCCGACCCTGGGATGCCCAGCCAGGCTCTGCCCCCTCCCTAAAACCATGGCGGGGGCTGCACAAGCCGGGTTCTCCCCAGCTCAGGAGGACATCAAGAGGCTGAGCGATGAAGCTCCGAGGCTCAGCGTACGCTGGTTTACACCCCAGGGCCGGGAATCCAGCGTGAATAAAACTGAGCGGCTTTCATCTCTCGCTTTTGAAGAACAGCGCGTGGGTCTCAGATATTAGCTAGAAAGGGGGAAATTGCAGAAAAATCCGCCAAAGCGATGTGGGTAGAGGTCTGGCTCCTGCCATCGCTTGCAAAGGGGGAGTTTATCCCTGGGGCATGTCCTACGGGATTATGTGCCATTGCTGGGAACCCACTCAAGGTTTGGGAGGGCAGGGAGCCCTTTGGGGGGAGCCTTTCCCTTCCCCAGGGCTGCGGGAGCCTCGGGCGCAGCACCCAGCTTTTTTTAGACCATGGCAGCAAAAAATAGAGCCCTGCTCCCGGACACCCGATCCTTCTCCGGGCCCCAAGCGGGAGCCGAGCCGGAGCGCCGGGCTTACCGAGGGAATCCGTTTTGTTCTCCACCGTGTCGTTCACCTTCCTGGCCACCCGGGCCACCGCCTCGCCCCTCCTCTTCTGCATGCGGGTGCAGTCCCGCCGGGGACGCGCTTCGGACAGGGGGATCCACGGCCGGAGGGAGAAACTAGCGGCTCCGGCCTCTCAGGAGAGGGATGCTAAAAATAACCGGTGGGATCAGCGTTCCCGAGGGAGGCTGTGCTGGGGCTGGCATGGCCCTCAGGGTATGAGATTCCCAACTTTCCAGGATGGTACATTTGGGATACAGGGATACATCCCCTTTCCCATATTGGGGTATGGGGATGCGTCCCCTTTCCTGGCTTGGGGTATGGGGATGCATCCCCTTTCCTGGGATGGGGTATGGGGATGCATCCCCTTTCCTGGCTTGGGGTATGGGGGTGGATCCCCTTTCCCGGTCT